TTTTGAGCGCCTCGTCAATACAAAGGGGATGTATGCTTCATGCACCCCACCTGATAATGTTAGCGTGACGCGTATAACCAGGCGACAGAACCCTTTCGCAGAGAGAAAAGAGGTTCTTTCATAATTTACCGGTCCACTTACAGGTATCTTCTTTGTAGTACTGCGTTATATAAGCTAGCTTAGTTAGTGTACGTAGTGCAACCTTGTGCTACCCCACCTGGCGTCCGAGAGAGCGTCGTTTCTTTGAGTGGTACTTTCTAGCGAACGTAATATAGTTTCCGAAGAGAGAAGAGGAGGATCCCTTTCGATCGCACGCTCGTCCCGAAGGATTACTTACGAAAATATCCAACATTACGTCACGCTCCATATTGGTACCATTCTCAGGACAGAAAAGTACAAACGTATAATTAATTAGAAAACGATGTCTAAATGTCGTGCCACGTCCAACGTTAATTAACCGATAATGAACAATGGGCGATGATAACGAAAAAGATATAGCAGCCGTTTTCTTTGTTATGACAACGACACGTGCAGCGATGCGAATGCTATATGTCTATAGATAGATCTTTACAGCAAAACGTATGCCTTTGCTGCGTCGGCGATATCTACGTCCGGGTATATAAGGGTCATCGACATATTCTCCTTTGCGAATATCGACGAAATCCGGACAAGATCGGCCGGCTCTCGAAGAGATCGTCGGCTCGCTCTCTTCCTGGAAGCTCTACCGGTGACAATCTATCTGCGCTTATAATGTATACGCTTATAGAAGCTATATCGATTGAAAAGTTTCGCGGACCTGACTAACCGCGCGATTTCGCGTTAATATTCTTCGAATTCTTGTCGAGCGGCAAAATACTAGAGAATAAGATAAAAACAGATAATAGGTATTTCCGTAATTTGAATTATATCGATCTGCTTACGCGTAATTGTTCCTTTGATAAACAAGCTGAAAAATTAAGTGCCCATTTCGAGAATGTGATTTACCTAATAGACGATCATTCATCGAGAACCGGATACTTTAATAAGAAAACTGTCAAGAAGATTTATTTTTAACTTGTCAAGGTTGGATTACATAAAGCTATAGAGTAATAGTGAATAATAATTATTGAATATATACATTCTAAATAAAAAAGAGCACTCACTTAATAGATCGAGTTTCAGAACGATCCGCTTTGCTTATCATTCCTTGATGACGATGACACTGATCAGACCATTATCCTTCGGACGTATGGAATCCTGCCAGGAGATCTGCGCTATGTTCGTGGGAGTCACGGTGGACCTACGATTCCATCCAGGCGTCATCAGCTCATCCGGATGACTTTCGCGTTCACTCGGACCGCACATCGAAAAATTCACTTCCAATTGAGCAAACGCGTCAAATCTTCCAATCACTGAAGTACTTTTTCCATCACTCAAAACTCAACTAATTATAACATTTACGAATTGAAAAAAAATGACAAGGTTTGATATTTAATTTTCATTAATCTCCATTGAACCTTCATTTTAGCGTTTAACTCCGAGATGATATTCCTACTTATAAACTAGGAGATGTAGTAAATTTATGTTATCGATAATCCATCACGTCGTACTTCGGACTGTCCCGTCTGTATAATCTGCCGTATGTAATTTCATGTCCACGACGATGATGCGGCGACGTCGATGTATCGCGCGCAACGCGACGCGACAGACCGATGCGTCGAAGCCGGTGTGCAGCACGCGAGTGTGATCGGCGCGTTGAGGTACAACATAGCAGCGCCACGTGGTACGCCGAGGTCGTTACCGTGGGGGCTGTCGTCGTTAGGACTCCCCCTGGATCAACGACGACGGTGAGGCGAGGGTGGCGACGACCTACACCCATCAACGTCAGCGAATCCTCTTCGCGGACTGGACAATCGACTGTGACGTAATCTGCAAGATGTTGATCATATCTAGAAATTAATTTTCATTTAAATAGTTACATTTATAATATCAAAGGCAAATAAATACTCTATGCAAGAGATAAATTGGAATATATTATGTGGCACAGTCGAAATAGAGTGATATGCCTCGAAGTTGAAAAATGATAGATCGAATGAATCTTTTTTGTCCAGATAATTATCATAATATTCATCTTATCGAAGCAAATAGTAAATTGCTTTGATTGTTTAATTAAAAAACCAATTATTAAAAAGTATTTAAAAAAATGGAAAATTATTCTGGGATGACTAATTGCGCCTACATTCAGAACAATTGCATTAAATTTTTGGATTATTAAGCCTAATGTTAACCATGAAGATGGCTGAAAAAAGCAGCCGAAACGTCGGAAATATATGTACAGGTGAAGAATAAAGAAGAATTGTAACGTACATTAATAACTGTGTACTAGCTCTTACGTAGTCAGAAATGATAATGGAATCGACATCGAATCGATGTCGATTCCATTATCATTTTTGATTGGGTAGTTGCCTATTGTATTTGTAATATTGTTTTTAAAAAGAATGAGTTTTACAACTATTAAGTTTCAAATTGTTCCAGTAGAATATTTAAGTAGAATATTGTGTTATTTATAAATATTTTTTACTTAATATTTAATGTGAAGCGACTGTTAACATCAACTGTTTTTGTAGCAACTCATTGACGGTCATTAAAGTTTAAAAAAAGCGTAAGTATACTTAAATGATAAATTACTTATCATTGTAGTCGGTATACTGAAGGTAGCGTTTGAAACATAATACTCGCTTTTTATATTTCATAAAAAAATTTTTTTCACACAAGGAAGAACACACATTCTGTTATTACAAGCGTGAAGTCTCCATACAATCTGATCCTTTCAAATTAGATTGACTATTCTTCCTCTCTAGTCTCATCAAGGATTGAAACTTGGAGCTATATTTAACTCACGAGCACGTAAAGCACGTCTCTATATGACGATCGATTGTCTTTTGTCTCGAATTGTCTATTCGAAGAACTCTTAACCATTAATTTGCACGAAACTTCTATCCTTCGATATTGATCAAATAATTATTATTATATCCATAAGGTTGATACGCCATTTCCTAGTTATTAGATTCGAATTATTCTACAATGTTCTGTTTGCCCATATAATACGATGCGACGCGCAAATTTACATACAGAAAGAAGAAGAAGAAGGACAAGAAATACATTAAGAAAAAAAAAGAAATACAAGAAGAAAATGATAATGGGTAAGGGCAAAAAAAAGTGATGACTCATGTTGATGAGAAATAAATTACATGCGAAAAGAGAATATAGCTCTAAGCTATCTTGAGTATGAATTACGTTCTCATGGCAACTGTTGGCGGGGAAGGTCAAGTGTAGGGGTGAGATCGTGTACGTGAGGGCGACAGCAAACAGGGTTGCAACGTTGGATATACTGTGGTGTGATAATTTTTATTACGTAAATATTTGGATATTTACTTTACGGCTACCTCAAAAATGTAGACATACTGCAAACTTGTAGATTTTACGCGGGGTACACACGTAGTCGTTACTTCTATCTTCCGGTAGCAATCATTGATCGATCGTTTGCATCAAAAAAAAAAAAAAAAAAAAGCAGGCGCGTTTCAGATAGCGTGAACCTGTTTTTATCTGTCTTATCTGACTACAGTGTATCGTCGTGGCCTCCGCTTAATTTCGCTCACGCGATAGGCGTACGCATACGTATCGATAAGTGTAATTTCACGAACATCGCTTACGAAGAAAAAAGAGAAGGAGAGTTCCCCTTTTTTCTTCTCGTTTTTTTTGTTTGCCTCTCTCTTTCACGCAAGCATTCTTATTTTATAAGATAGATAGAATAACGGTACGTTATGTGCTATGTACTTTTTCATGCAATTTATTATGTATTCCTCACGATTGCGAGGGAGAGAATTCATATAGGGTAAGATGGTACAATTTCGAACATGGTACAATTCTGAACATAAAATTTGAATTCAAATTCAAGGGTCAAGTCTGTTAACCTTGACCTTATATATTGTAGTGTGAAGGGTTTTGAAGAGAACTACCCCAAACAGGAAAAAATCAAACTTAAACTCCGAAAATTAAATTCAAATCTTATTTCGTTTAGAATTGTACTATAAGGTCAAAATTACTACTTTGTGTATTCCGATGACAATTTTATTAATTCCTATCATTACTGAATATTCTATACAGCGTCATATAACATTAAAAGAACGTTGCTAAAATGTTGTAATATTGAACGTTGAAATGTTAATGTTTTTCCAACACAGAATCTACATTTCACGATGTTGATACAAAATTTGCTGCAATGTTGCAGCTCTCAATCTAAAAGATGTTGATTCAATATTAACCCTTACCGTACCATCTACAATTTGGTGCCTCATCCATACCATCAAGGGTCACTTCAAATCATTTCGTTTTTTCACCTCTTCAAGGTAATAAAAAAAATTTCTAAAAATTCACCAACGTACTTTCAACTTTCTAGAATAAATATTGACTCTTTATTTTGGAAAATAATAAAATGTAGTATATATAATTTATAATTACCGAAAGACTCAAAGAAACTTGCACGAACAGGAATCGTTCGGTCACTAGTTATCCATATTAGTACGGTAAGGGTTAATATGCTGTATGGATATTGTACGATTTTTTTTAACTATCTTTCTAGTGGTCTTCACTGTATCTCATCTGCAAGATTATGACTCGTTATCATCATCCGCTCGCAGTAGACGTGAAACGTGATCCTGCAGGTAACACAATCGGCCACCTGTATTCCCATGCGGCGTTTATAATTCTTCCTATCGAACAAACAAAGGAACGGTTACTCGTCAACAAACAGTTAACGACGTTCACTCGACGCGGTTGCCCGCGTTCCTATCAGGTTACTCCGGACCTTTTCTCATCGTCGCTGATACCAATAGTACCGCTCAGCACAATTCCAGACGGAGGCGATAGCGCGGCGTCCCAATGAAAGAACGCGATCCTGCACACGAGATCCTGCGGCCGTTGTCTGGGTGACATTTCCTCCTCTAAGAAGGTATTCCCCGGCAATCCTGACACGTTCATCATGTCGACCAAGACCGTGGTACGGAGGACAAAATCCAGCAATCTGGAGTATCGCGGTGACTCCAGATTTCCACCGGGTGTATACACGATCCATCTACCGTCGACGTGTGATCATACACTCGAAAATAGGCCGATTCATCTGAAAAGAATTAGCGCATATGAAGGAAAAGAGGTAACGCAGTTTACATCGAGGGGATAATCACTAGCTGAAATATTGTCCCGTAGATTACATGATTTCATATAATTTCATCTAATTACAATTAATTTTTTTCACCACATACGAAATCATTTGGTAAAATATATGATTTTATTCAATATATTATACAATGATTTCTCGTGGTTGCATATGTAATTATCGGATTGTATATAGAGATTTTATATGAATTTTATAATAATTTTGAGAACTCTGTTCCACGATTACATAAATAAGGGGTATGGCCACTCTAGCAGGCATAAAAATAGTAATAAATTCAAAAATTTTTTTAGTTTAAAAAATAATTTAATATAAAATTAAATTAAAGCACTGGTTAATGGATATATATTAAGATCCACAAAATAATTTTTTTGTATTTTTTTATCCAAAATGGAGGTATTACTAGTTTTTCTCAAAACTAATTTCAATAATTTTTATCCGAATGGGTTCAAATTTTAATTGCAACTTCTCAGACACATTCCGCAGAGAAGTACATAAGGATTTTTCGATATATAAAAAATTTTTTATTTTATGAACAGTTTTTCATAAAACTTTTTTAGCAAAAAATACAAGTATGAATACCTGCCATTTTTGAAAATCAATATTTTCACAAACTTCTATGTATTTCTCTAGGTATTTTAATGTACATTAAAAAAAGTTTTTTTTGCTCTAGGTTAAAATTTATGGATGCTAGATGTAAAGCCCTGGAGCACCTCCAAAAAAATATACTAGATTCTGTTATCGGTAGCGCCGCCATTTTGGATACAAAAAATTCAAAAAAATTTTTTTGTGGACTTTAATATATGCACTAACCAGTGCTTTAATTTGATTGTGTATTAAATTATTTTTTAAACTAAAAAAAACTTTTGGATTTATTGCTGCTTTTATGCCCACTAGGGTGGCTATACCCCTTAAGTAATTATTCGGTTTACATCCTGTCCTCAAGAAAAAACGAACTGTAGATATGACTTAATTCCTTGTTCGTTATAATTACTACTGTATTAAATAAAAAATTTTTGAAATGTCCCATTTAAATTCATCTGTAAAATTAAGATAGTTTTGTAAAATATTGATGGTAGATCAGGAAGATAAGGGATAAGAGCGGCACGAGGAAATATTTGATTCCCTCGAAGGAGCCTATGGTCTATCCGAAGATCATGACAAGAAAGGAATACGAAGACCTAAAGGAACGCAGCCGCGTGATCACGAAGGAGGAGAGACAAACGGCCGTGGAAACTACGGAGAAAGAGAGGGAGAGACTGGCAAAAGAGAGCTTGGCACGGAAAGAGGCAATTCGCGTTATGGACATGAAAAAGGATCGTGAGAAGGATCCAAGAACGAAAGAGATCGAGGAGGAGGCGAAAAAAAGGACAATGCACATCCTCGAGCGGGCGTACAACATGCGTCTAGAGCAAGAGGAGGAGATACAGAAGTGCAATCGTCTTATTTTGGAAACCAAATGCCGAGCTATCCGCGACGCTCAAGTAAATCATCGATTTTATAACAGAATCCCGCATATGGCATAACATTTTGGTAATGTCTAATTTTCATACATTTAGCTATCTATTTGCAGATAGCAGAAAAGAAATTGATGGGACAAGAGCTTCTCGAGGAGGAGAAACGGTTGAACGACATGATGGAAGAAGAGAGGAGATGGGCAATCAAGGAAGAGTCGCGAAAAGAAGAAGAGGAGACAGCCAAACGGCTACGATTTGCTAAGATCTTGAAGGAGCAGATCATAGAAAACGAGGAACAACGGATCCTCCAGTTTGAGAGAAAGCAGGAGGAAAGCCGGCTTATCAATTTAAATAATATCGCATGGCAGCAAGACGAGATTGAGAAGCTACGCAACAAGGAGACTGAAAACGCAAAAGTGCGACAGGAACTTGCAGAAGGGAACGAACAATTGAAACACTTTAAGGCTATGGAAGAGGAAGAAAACAGAATTATAGATTTAAGGTATGTTTTTCCAAGGCTTTTAAAAATCACGTATCAATTTTTAAAATTAACTACTTTGAAATCATCTCTTTAATATTTCCTTGAAAAAATATGATTCTTATCAAATTTAACTTTTTAGGATACAGAACTATCATCGAATAAAAGAGGAGAGAGAGGCAAAAAAAGCGGAAGAGCAGAGATTAGAAAGATTGAAAAAGGAGCGAGAGAAAACCAGAGTAGCGATGCGAACGGTGCAAGCACACGAGCTTCAGGTATTATGTAAACTTTAAAACTTCGCAACATAAGTATATCTATTATGTAAGTTACACTATTATTATATAAGTTACATTAGATTATAGCAGTATGCATATATATATATATATATATATATATATATAAAATTCAACAAAATATATTCTATAAACACTAGATCATGAATTTTCGCTAATGTAAATGCAATAATTTGCGCGATATATCATATTGCGTTGCACGTATCGTTCCGTATACTTCTTCTATAATTACCTACATACATCCTTGCGTGTCTCAACTACCTGTTGTCGAGGGTCAATGAATCCACGAGCGCCACGTCAGGCCTCGCTATCTACAACGTGTTCTCCTTTCGAAATTGCGCTTCGCGTTTTTTTTATCGTGATTATTTCTGTTGAACAGGGAATTAAGTGCCATACATCGCACTCCGTAATGCTCTTTTGCAATTAAAACTATTAACGTACATTGAACATAATAGATCAGTCCTGTTTTTCTGACGTCTATTTTTAATACGCAATATATCATAATTTATTTCAAAGAAACATTTAATGAGTAGTAAATAATAGAATAAGTTATTAATAACTGCGAACAAATCGCGGCGATAAATTTGCAGGCGCAAATTGATGAAATCAACGCGGCTCGAGTTCAGGAAGAGGTAGAACGGGATTGGAGACGAAAAGAGAAGGAAGAAGCTTTAAAGAAATTGAAAGCTCAAAGAATTCTTCAGAAAGAAAGAGAGGAACAAATAAATAATAAGCGAATAATGCAAGCCATCGAAATTGAACGGGAGAGGCGAGAATTTGAGAGAATTGTACGTGTACAACAAACAGCTTTTTATAGAGAAAAGAAGGAATTCGAGCAAAAGCAGCAACAGGCTTTAATTCATCGCAGTGAAATATTAAAGCAGGTTTGTATCATTTGTCTTCGCACATCTGAAAAAATATATATTGGTTGATATATTGGTATATATAACAATATGTATACATATATACTTTTTATACATACAACACAGTATTGATTATATTATTCTCTTATTTCGCTTGGATAGGTAAATGAAAAAGAACGAGAACGCATTGTTGAGCGGCAAAAAATGTTCGAAGAAGGCCTGGCAATACGTGCTGAAACTGCAATGCGTAAGAAGAAATTACAAGATGCAATGGAACGAAAGTGCCAAGAAATGAGAGAAAACAAAGTTCCCGATATTTATATTAATGAAGTGAAACGAATGATTGAAACTATTCAATGAATTATTTCATCATGCTGAGAAATAAATATAAGATTTAAATCTAATACATAAAAAATAATAAATTACGTATATCTTTGATTTCATTATACATATACGTAAGAGATTATATATAATATATATAAAAAATTTAGCATTTTTATATATATATATATTTCAATTTTTACATAGCTATGTACAAGTTTATAGAAAATTTAATTTTGCAATCTTTCATTAAGTCTTTTTTGTGACACATCACTTCCATATCATTAGAACGTTCGGATCACGTTCAATAATATCTTCAATTTGCGCGGCAGACTGGCCCGTGCTACAGCATATTTCATCAAGGCTGTAGGTTCCTGTGAAATACTTGTAAATTGGATTATTTTTTGCTTCTTCGCTGCAAGATGCGCCAGGAAGAAGTACGGGATACTGTAAGAGATGATTGAATTAATATACCGTTATACAGTACACATTGCAATGTGAAAGCTACTCACATTGTATACCCTTCTAATAAGTCCCTCAATCAAGCCAAATTGTACTAATCTTCTTTCATTTATTCTGAGGTTTTGTGGATTGAGACGTTGACACAAGTCTTTCATACTGACGCCGTAAGTCATACTTGAATACATACGATATATATCTCTAAAATGTGCAGGTTGTCTAGCTATAAACAAAAACAATCTACAGCTTTTGTCGCGCTTTTAAAACAATAATCATAACGCGTTCGAAAAATCACTCACCTAGCTTAGAAGCGTATGCTATACATCTTTCCTGTAATTTTACATCATCCGGCAATTTTCGTAATTTTGGAGTCACTGCATAGACGTTACTATATTGAAATATTGGGATCAGCGTTACAACTCCGTAATATCTGCAAGCAGAAGAATGTCACGTATAATATAATCAATAAGGAAATGCTATTTCTCTTGTCAAATATTTCGTACACAAGATTTTGCACGCAGCTTTTGACTAAATTATTCTCTACGTCGGCCTCAGCCGCTATGCGTGCCACATGATTAAAGCCGTCGATATAAGGCAATACTTGTTGTGTGGTCAAATCCCATTGATCATTCTGGAATGTATCCCTGTCTTCCAAAAATATTGGTACTTGATGATCAAGAACTGGTTTTGGCTCAGGCGCCAACCTCACAACTTTCAAATGCGATGTCATTGTTCCTTCTAATAAAATATCACACATGACATATCACACATGACATATCATGATGAAACATTTTAAATATATAGGAAATTTACCAGTCAATGTACACATTTTGTGTAGATTCAAATCCTGCATGACTTGTGCGAGCATCTCTGCCAATCTAGTCTTGTCATCTGATGCAGACAGAAAGCAATTCTCTATTTCCAGAGCCATCTGATAATTACACGAAAATTAGATGTACAAATTGCTATACTTTCAGAATATTAAAGACATAGAAAAATCCATAAAAAAACTTACTAAGAAATCCGACATCTTCTTAACCACTGGTTCATAATGGACAGTACGAGCGTTTGCATCACAGACAAAACACAAGTTGAAGTAAAATGCATTTCTTGCGTATTTTTTATCGTCAATCTTCACGGGAAAACCTAAGATTTTATAGTCCTTTAATGTGCTAAAAGAAAAGAAAGTTCTTAAATAAAATATAAAGAATTTGACCAGATAACTTTTTTTGCATTTTTACTTAAACTTACATTGTAATGGTGCTTCTTTGTAATTGTGCCTTTGGTATGATGTAAACACTGACATTGTCGAAAATATCCTTCGATATGTAATTATCAGGCACCTGTAAAATAATGTAATTACCGTAAATTACAAACACAAACAGAATATTTAATTATTTACATCTTCACAATATATGACCTAACCTGGCATGTAATTTTGGGTCCCGCTATATGATGAAATTCAGCAAAGAATATGCATCTAATAGGATCCTCTTGTTCCTTGTCCTCAACATTTTCCAATGAAGTAGATGCCATTGTGTCTTTTTGCCTCTTTATTGAGATTTGAAAACCTAGTTAAAGAAAGAACTCATTCATCCGGCATCATTTAAAGTCAAATGCACTGCTGCCATCTAACCAATCTTAACACGTGTAAGTGAACTAAAATTGAACCACAGCTGACAACACGTGTGTGCTTGAGATGCCGAATTAAACACACCGAGGCATGTTTTTGGGAAGAATATTTTAAGTATACACATCTTTTAATTTTGTAATTTTACAAAGATGAGTAAAAGGAAACTCGACGACGAGACCGACACCGCTCCGGCGGATGTTGAGGTCAAAAGGGTTCTATCTCGTTTTAAATCGGACACTGGCGAAGTTCTGCCTGGTGGTCTGTTGGATCTGCCAGTTGATATCACTGTGGATAAATTGCAAGCAATTTGCAATGCTCTACTGCAGCAAGAAGAAGAGCCGTTGCCTTTGGCATTTTATGTAAATAATGTAGAAGTGGCAGACGTATTAGAGAAGTATGTTGGCAAAGATTTCAGTATCAGCGAGGACGTAGTGGAGATTATATATCAGCCACAGGCAGTATTTAAAGTCAGAGCTGTCACGAGATGCACTGGATCTTTAGAAGGTCACCAGCAATTCCATGCATCACTTCATATCCAATAAAATGAATATTTATAAACATATTCTGCTTATACAGGTCATAAGGAAGCAGTTATATCCGTTGCGTTTTCACCGGATGGCAAACATCTAGCCAGTGGTTCCGGTGACGCGACAGTCAGATTATGGGATATCTATACGCAAACGCCACATTATACATGTGAAGGTCATAGACACTGGGTCTTGTGCATTGCTTGGTCGTCCTGTGGAACCAAGCTAGCATCTGCGTGTAAAAATGGCTTGATTTATTTATGGGATCCCAACACTGGCAAACAAATAGGTAGAGATATAGAAAGTATATTCATCTAGCTTCCTTTCTTCTCTGGCAGAAATAAACTCCTTTCCATATTTGTCATATAGGCAAAGCCATGACAGGACACAGAATGTGGGTGACGTCTTTATGCTGGGAACCCTACCATAAGAATCCAGAGTGCATATATTTAGCGAGTTCGTCTAAGGACTGTGACGTACGAATTTGGGACACAAAACGAACACAAACCTGTCGGGTTTTGTCTGGACACACAAAAAGTGTGACCTGCGTTAAGTGGGGTGGGAGCGGTCTTATTTATTCTGCCTCTCAAGACAGGACTATCAAAGTGTGGAGAGCAGAGGACGTATGTATCGAGGATTTAAAATTATTAGCATCCAACTATATTTTCAACTGATCAAAACAATTTCAGGGTATATTGTGTAGAACGTTAGAAGGCCACGCTCATTGGGTAAACACTTTGGCCTTGAACGTCGATTATGTGCTTAGAACTGGCCCTTTTCACTTGGGATTGACTGCAAACAAAACAGACAGTCCATTAGAATATGCAAAAAAGCAGTATGAAGCTGTAGGTGAAGAAAAGCTTGTGTCTGGATCTGATGATTTTACATTGTTCCTATGGAAGCCAGAAAAAGAGAAGAAACCTATCGGTACATTGCATGATTTTAACATACAATTAAATCAATCAACTGCAAGAAATATATTGTGAAAATATTTTTCAGCAAGAATGACAGGCCATCAGCAGCTTATCAACGACGTTAAATTCTCGCCGGATGGTCGTTTAATTGCGTCTGCATCCTTCGATAAGTCTATTAAACTGTGGGAATCTAATACTGGCACGTATATCGCTTCACTAAGAGGTCACGTTCAAGCGATTTATTCGATAGCTTGGAGCGCTGATTCTCGTCTGCTGGTCAGCGGCAGCGCAGATTCAACTTTAAAGGGTAAATACACTGTCAGACATACGAAAACTTATCAATTCAGGATATCAACCTTAGATATTTGGAAGTAACATAATCCTTTCTATAGTTTGGAGTATAAAAACTAAAAAATTAAGTCAAGATTTACCTGGTCACGCTGATGAAGTTTATGCAGTCGACTGGTCACCCGATGGTCTACGAGTCGCTTCAGGTGGAAAAGACAAAGTTTTACGACTATGGCAAAATTGAATTGAATATATAATTCAAGTAAATAAATTTATAAAGAAAATTAAGTATGTCTTTATTACTTATTTTTTAAATAAATTATTGTCATATATATATCAGTTAATAATATTATTAAGTCTGGATTAAAAATTGTATATTTTTTATAAAGATCAGCCCCGCATGATACAAATGCAATTAAATTAACAGTTAATTTATTAAAGACTGGATTAATCTTAATAGAGAATGCAATTAAAACTATTGATTTCTTGATTAGATATCAAATGTGCTAGCATACTTAAAGGAATGATTGGGGGGTATATGAATTTTGTAAAAGTAATAAATCAAAGTAAAGTTTGATTTTAAGATATAAGGATAAGATTTGGTTATATAAAAATTCGAAGAAAGTTATGTAAATTGTAATTCATATAATCAATTAATAATTACAGGAAGGCAATACATAAAACTTCAAATTTAACGCAGATTATTATAATACAGTATTAAATCTTATGTATTATCTGTATTATGTAATATCTGAACTAAAAAAAAAAACATTCAGAAGATTAAAAACATTATGACTAACATATATTTTAGACACACAAGTATAATTAAAAAATATTTTAGCAACAAACACTTAGCGTTCGCTCACAGCCCTTATTTTACTTTATTGATTGTTTTAAGAGAGAGTTATAGATTTTGTATTTTATATCTGCAAAATCTGTAAATTTAATTAAAGCGGCACATTTTACGGCTGTATTTTTAATATCCTTATCTCTTCAAAGTCTCAAAATTTTATAATGTGCCAAATATATATATATATATATATATTATATATGTTATACAAAATACTTACACACATATTATTTTCCTGTTTGTTTCTATACGATTGTATCTGAAAAAATAAACTAATTCGTATTCATACAATTTGGGTCTAGTACCAATAAATTTTACGTACAGTATATAAACACCAGGTTTCAGTTTATCATCAAAAAAGTTTATGTTCTAAGAAGTAAATGTTCGGATGTTCCTTTGTCTTTTTTATGTTCTAAGAAGTAAATGTTCGGATGTTCCTTTGTTCGAGCAATAACAATCTGTACGGAGATCTGTACAGCGGACCAAACTTTAGCGCGCCTAATTTCTACCTGCGAATCATTTTAATAAACAATGAATAACTCAGTTCATTCAGTTATTTTACATAATTTCTGTGAACGGCTTTGATGATATATTTTTAAGATTATCAATCTTCTGAAAATGCAATTTTTAAAAAATCGATTTTTTTGACCTGACAAACTAGAATACTCCCCTAGGATGCTCCAATCAGGTGATCAGGTTCCGGTTGCGCAAATATCCGCCGATTGATAGCATCCTCGTGCGAAATGCGAACGTACTGCGCACGCGACTGCGCACGGGACGTGACGGGACACCGTCGAAGCCGTCCAGAAGGTCCAGGGGCTCCGGACGTCTGGACTGATGATCGAAAAATGACGTCTGACAAGTGAAGATCTAACCTCCTTTGTTTTATATATTTACACTGCATTTTTTGTGCACGTTGCAACACCTCCCACACAGAAGCTACCATGGTAAAGAGATTCGAGCAATCTCGCTGTATTCGCGATAAAAAGATGGCACGCCCGTGTCTTATTTTATCGGGGTACCGCGCAGAGCTTGTTAAACGCGTGAGAAAAATAAAGGAGAAATTTGCGAAAAGTGCGCGAACATTTCCAGGACGACGATGCGGCCGCGTTGCAGAATCTGGAACAGCTCATGACGGAGTTCTTCTGCCCGGAGACGACGAACGAGAGAAAACGCACAATTGAGCGCAGCTTCCAGGAGTTCGCCGGGCAGATCGACTCCTGGAAACCTTGTCTACATTTTTTGTCCTCCACGAGCAATCACTATGTTAGTATGTTTGCTCTATCCACTTTGGAGGTAATTACGTGAGCCACTTTACAGATAAAAACATAGGATGCTTTACAGCAAGACACAGATTACAAAGTACTTGTATGCTTTTCATTTAGTGACAAGTCAACACAATAAGCATCAGTCTTTGAATACTTTCTATTTAGTAACACAAGTCGATACAAATGTCATTTTATCTTTCTTGGCATGCAAAGAGTAATAATGAATAACACTTGTATCTACTTGTGTTACTTAATGGAAAGCATTCAGTGAATCATTACATCCTTGTTGTTCAATAATATTAACCAAAGATGAAATGATCACTGTGTTGTACTATATGCCTTGCTGGAAAACACCAATAATATTCTTTTCGGCGATGCAATACTTCTTAGACTGAATTATTTGACAGACAACTATCAGCAGACGATGGCCCATCCTTCCCTGGGAAGATAGAGCTCTTACAAGATCCACTTTGTATACATTGTCATTGGAAAGGGACGTCGCGTCTTTTGTGAGAAATAAAGTAGTGAAATTGGTAGTGGATATAGCAAGACACGACTGGCCACATTTCTATCCAGATTTTTACTCTAATATTTTACAGGTTTGTGAATAAAGAATATCTTTCTACATATTAAAATATATAACATGAATTTGGCTATATATTACATTGCTTTCTGTGAAACAGTTGCTAAGCCATAAACACACAAGACTGTTGGGACTCGTATATTTGAGAACAGCTTCAGAAGAACTAGCCACGCCGAGAGAGGATTTACCAATGCACAGGAAAAGCGAACTGTTCAGACTATTAAGTGCACAAGTGCCTCTAACTTTGGATACACTTACAGGTATATTGCCAAAGTTGAGGATACCTTACAAACATGCACATGTAATAACATACGAAATCATGAATGATTTCGTAATTCACTCTGTTACTTTTAACAGTTCTTTTGAAAGAAACTACAAAATTGCAAAGCCGTTCTGGGACAGTGACACCACCTCCATCACCTACCAGTGGACAAAGTCTTGCACCTGCACGTGCAGTACTAGATGTCGAGGGATTAGCAATAGGTACCAGTGAAGTATGCACAGCTACTCTTGAAGTTCTGGCACATCTGTTTAGTTGGATAGACGTATCAGGCAGTATTTCTATTAACTTATTAGATGCCATTTTTTCATGTGCCAAGTATCATGATGCAATGGTAAGATTTTATTTCCGTGAAAGAATGTATAGTAGCAGATTGAGATAAACTATATATTTGTCAACGTTTTCACAGAATAGCAAACAAATTGAGATGGCGGTTCAAGCTTTAACTACAATTAACGAGCTTTTATACAGACCATTCTGTTCGCCCGACGCAACTGACACCTTGTTATTAGAGATATTTCAGAATGGTGTTGGTTTATTCCAGTTAATGGAACGTCTGGATTCAGTAGAGGAGAGGTACGCACCAAATGCATTTTCAAAGAATCTTGATAGGTTCTCAATATGCGAAATAAAATTTTCATTTTTTCAGCTACATGGAAAAAATGACAGAGTTTTTGCAATTATTTATAACAAATCACATGAAAAGGATGGAGTCGAGCTCAAAGTTTCCTGTAAATACATTATTGGAAGTACTGTGCCATCATACATTCCAGCAAGCTTCTACTGTAAACGGATATTTGCGTTGTCTAGATGTTTGGACAACTCTTTTGGAGAGCACTCAATCGCGATATTCTGCCGTCGCCTTAGCCCTTGCGGAACGAATTTTACAAAAAATGAGTTTTAAGCTCAATGCTCGAGTATTGAGAGATCTCGACACGGAAAGTCTAGACGAGAATGTAAGTTTAATTACAAGTGTTATATAAACTTTTACTTAAATAATTATACCTGTATTATAAATATAATTATTATGTAGTTAAATATTATATAAAGTCTGTTTTTTATTCTTGCACTAGATTACACTAGAACTCTTTCTTGTTTTCAAGCGAATATCAAACGTATATGTATTTTCTTACTATAAGTAAGAAAAAAATGTACACTAGTTTAGCCACAGAAAATAGAGCCCTTGTTAATTATTATCATATAATTAAATATATGTAATTTTATATATATAAATAATTACGTCTATATAAATACTTGTAGAAAATTTCATCATCTTTTTTTCCAGGAAGAAACAGAGTGGCAACACTTTCTAAGATGCAATATAGAATGTTTGGCAAAAATTGCCGACATCTCACCTATCCCGATATTTACGTTATTGGTAATTTTTAATTGGCAAAATATATCTATGTCTTTATTATGAAAATATTTATAATATTAGATATTTTTTAGTACCGTTCATGGAGAGAAGGATTAATTATTTTCGGTGAATTAGGCGCGGCAGTTGCTAATGGCCAAGTTATTTTATTAAATGATACAGAGGCATCAAATGTGCATGCACATCTGAGAGATCTTGCATCAACTACGCAAGCTTTAACTAGATTATATTCTCTTTTCATCGGTAAGCAGTTAAATGATTTATCAGTTTTTGATTCTCTACAAAAAAATATAATTGTGTCAATAGGAGATCAAACAAATATCGATCAAAGCTTAGCAGAGGAAGTTGTGTCACAAACTCTGGAGGCGTGTATGTTTGCGAGAGATAATCAGCTGTATAAAGCGGCGATCCAACCATCTGCTATCGTAATAGATCTCATAGAAGTGTAAGTTCTTGGTTATCTCTTATATGTTTTTATATGAACAATCATTAATATATAGTCATAATGATGATATAGGTACTTGTTATATATTGATTTGCGCTATTAGACATTCACAGCTTTTGGCTTCTCTTCAAGCATGGTGTCACTGGATAGCCAGAAGACCGGAAAAGGCTAAGGAAGCGCTCTGTCAGCGTTGCATCGATTCGTGTGTTTGGGCAACGACGTACACTGCGTCCTGTGATCATTCACCTCCTGCAAATCTCATTCACTCTGCCATTCATCTTTTCCAAAGTATCACCGCCATTTTAAAGCCCATCTTATGGGACCAACCAACTTTCCGGAATCTAATTTCTATGGGCACGTATCCATATTTGAAATCAGATACAATTAAAATTCTACGTAGGGCATTGATAAATGGGATTATATTACCACCTGGTGATGCAGCA